GGTGCGGGAGGTCAGCGGCACCAGTTGGCCGACGCTGACTCGCACCAACTATGGAGAGTGACCGGTGACCATAAAGGTTAAGCTCAGAGCCCGATGGCTCTGGAATGCTGTTGATAAATGCACCGACAATGAAGAAGATGACATATCAGCGTTGGAGGCTATCCTCGCTGCTATACCGGTGGAGTACAGGGAGCCGTTGGGGGGTGAAGAGCTTGGCTAAGGAGGCGTGGGAGGCTATTGCGGCCATGCACGTCGGTTCCGACCACGCAAAGAAGGCGATGACCCAGCTTCTGAACCAGGAGTACGGCAACCTCAAGTTCAAGGATGGTGAATCGGTGGAGGACTTCTCCCTCCACCTGCAGACGCTCATCAGCAAGCTGAAGAGCCACGGCGTCACCATCGACGAAGAGGAGGCGGTCTCCAAGTACCTCCACTCCGTGCGGGCAAAGTACATCCAGATCGCTCTCTCCATAGAGATGATGCTGGACTTGTCCACCCTCACCATCGAGGATGTAACAAGCCGTCTGCGGGCAGTGGACGAGCGTCTAGAGCAGGCGACAGCAATGAAGGACAGTGATAAACTACTGCTAACAGAGGAGGAGTGGGCTGCTCGGAGAAACTCCGGGGTAGCCTCCTCCAGCCACGGTGGCGATGGCAAGCACCGCGGCAAGGCTTCTTCAGGGAAGAAGAAGCAGGTCGACCCGAACGCCTGCCGGTGCTGCGGGAAGACAGGCCATTAGGCACGGGAGTGTCCAAATCGCAAGCAGGAGAAGAAGGCTGAGGCTTATCTGGCGCAAGATGATGATGATGATGAGGCCACTATCCTGATGGCGATGTTCTGTGCACTGCACGATGTCGAGACCGATGAGAAGGGAGAGGTGATGATGATGGCAGGACCTGGGAAGGCCCTGAAGGCTGTCAACCTCGACGAACCACGCGCCCAAGTCCACCTCGGACGTGTGGGTGGCGAGCAGGAGCAGCGGTGGTATCTGGACTCTGGTGCCAGCAACCACATGACGAGCTTCAAGGCAGCCTTCTCCGAGCTTGACGACGATGTTACCGGTACAGTGAAGTTTGGTGACGGCTCAAGGGTGGCTATCCGAGGGTGTGGCATCATCATCTTCACGTGCTAGAACGGCGAGCACCGAGCGCTGACGGATGTATATTACATCTCGCAGCTGCGTTCAAGCATCATCAGCATTGGTCAGCTGGATGAGCGCTGTAGTGAGGTACTGATCAAGGACGGAGTCCTTAGGATCAGGGACCAGGAACAACAACTTCTTGCCAAGGTGAAGAGGTCCCTAAAGGTAGAGCAGCCGGTGCGCCTGGCGACAAGGCACACTGAGGAACCGTGGCTGTGTCATGCCCGGTTCGGACATCTCAGCTTCGACGTGCTTGGTCGGCTGGAGAAGATGGTCCGAGGGCTACCCCACATCGAGCACGAAGGCGAGCTGTGTGATAGCTACCTAGCCGGGAAGCAGAGGAGGCTGCCATTCCCAAAGGCAGCCAAGTATCGCGCGAAGGACGCTCTTGAGCTTGTCCACGGTGACCTCTACGGGCCGATCACGCCAGCCACAAATGGTGGTCGGCGGTAGTTCCTCCTGCTCGTGGATGATTGCAATCGTTACATGTGGCTGCAACTCCTGATGAGCAAGGACAAAGCAGCAGCAGCGATCAAGAAGTTTAAGATGCGCGCGGAGGCCGAGAGCGGCAAGAAGCTCCACGTGCTGAGGACTGATCGTAGCGGTGAATTCACTTCGTTGGAGTTTGCTACGTACTGCGCGGATCAGGGTGTGGTGTGACACCACACCACGTTGTACTCGCCACAACAGAATAGCATGGTGGAGCAATGGAACCAGACGGTGGTTGGCATGTCTCGATCCATGATGAAGGCCAAAGGCATGCCGGCAAGGTTCTTGGGTGAGGCGGTGACCACGGTGGTGTTCATTCTCAACCGCGCTCCCACCAAGGCCCTGAATGGCAAGACGCCGTTCGAGGCTTGGCATGGGCGCAAGCCAAGCGTGTCCTTCCTCCAGACATTTGGCTGCATTGGCCACGTCAGGAAGACGCAGCCGATCCTCACCAAGCTGGAGGACAGGAGCACACTGATGGTGTTGCTGGGCTACGCGGAGGGTACCAAGGTGTACTGGCTCTACAACCCACGTGGAGATAAGGTACTTGTCTCGCGCGACGTCGTGTTCGACGAGAAGGCAGCTTGGGACTAGAACAGTCCGAACACAGGGGAAGCTGGAGGCTTCACCAGCACCTTCGTCGTCGAGCACCTAGTCATCCACGGTGGTGGAGACGCTGGGGAAGAGGTGTCGAGCACTCCGGGAGGGGTGCTGAGCACTCCAGCGACAGAGCCGAGCACTCTTGGGTAGGTGCCGAGCACTCCAGGAGGGGTGCCGAGCACTCCAAGAGTGGAGCCAAGAGGTCTTCCAGTGGTGGCGACCACTCCAGGACGGGTGCCGAGCACTCCCGTAGCGGAACCGAGGGGTCTTGCATTGGTGCCGACCACTGCAAGATGGGTGCCGAGCACTCCGGAAGGAGTGCAGACCACTCCAGGAGTGGTGACGAGCTGTCTAGGAGTAGTGCCGAGCACTGCAACCGGGTGCCGAGCACTCCAGGTGCTGTGCCGAGCACTTTGGCGGAACAGGGAACTCCATCGATGATGATCGAGTTCTCCTCACCTCCAAGTGACATCACTGAGTTCGTGGATGCCTTCCACGAAGGTGAGGAGGTGCGGTTCCATAGGCTGGATGATTTCGTCGGTGGCACAGGGCCCTCAGGCCTAGTTGGTCGGTTGCTCAATGACCAAGAGCTGCTGCTCGTCAGTGCAGAGGAAGCACCCACATTCGCGCTGGCCGAGCGCGATGGAAACTGGCGACGGGCGATGCTGGAGGAGGTGAAGGCTATCGAGGAAAACGAGACATGGGAGCTCGTCGATCCACCTCCAGGATGCTGTTCGATTGGCCTGAAGTGGGTGTATAAGGTCAAGCGGGATGAGCTCGGTGCCATTATCAAGCACAAGGCGCACCTCGTCACCTGAGGCTTTGTTCCGCGCGAGGGCATCGACTTCGAGGAAGTCTTTGCGCCGATAGCACACATGGAGTCTGTCTGACTGCTTCTGGCTTTGGCAGCAGCAAAGGACTGGCGCGTCCATCACCTAGACATAAAATCAGCCTTCCTCAATGGTGAGCTGGCGGAGACAGTCTTCATCAGGCAACCTCCAGGTTTCGTCGTCAAGGGAGCAGAGCACAGGGTGCTCCGACTGTGCAAGGCGCACTACGGGCTACGACAGGCCCCATGAGGATGGAATGTCAAGCTTGACGCCACGCTGGGCAAGCTTGGGTTCCAGCGATGCGTAACAGAGCACGCGCTCTACACACGGCGATGGGGAAGGAGGAGCTCATCGTCGGCGTGTATGTGGACGACTTGATCGTCACCGGTGCGCGTACGGAGGACATTGACAGCTTCAAGCGCGAGATGGCGGCTCGTTTTCGAATGAGTGATCTCGGGGCACTCTCCTACTACCTCGGCATTAAGGTGAGACAGGGGAAGGAAGAACTCACGCTCGGTCAGAGCACGTATGCCTTGAAGCTGTTGGAGCAGAGCGGCATGGCTGAGTGCAAGCCATGCGTGACTCCGATGGAGGAGTGGCTGAAGCTAACAAAGGCCAGCACCGTGGCAAAAGTGGATGCAACATTCTACCAGAGCATCGTCGGCGGTCTGCGCTACCTAGTCCACACGAGGCCAGACATTGCGTTCGCTATGGGCTACGTCAGTCGCTTCATGGAGGAACCTCGAGAGGATCACTGGGCTGCGGTGAAACGACTGTTGTGCTACGTCAAGGGGACGGTGGATCAAGAGATCGTCTTCCCAAAGATAGGCGGAAGCAGGCTGTAGCTCAGTGTTTTCAGCGATGCAGACATGGCGGGGGACATCGATGGACGACGGCGCTCCTCTGGCGTGCTCGTCTTCCTCGGGTTGGCTCTAATTTTATGGCTGTCACTGAAACAGAAGGTGGTGGCATTGTCTACGTGCGAGGCAGAGTACATAGCAGCAGCCACAGCGGCGTGCCAAGTTATGTGACTACGCCGGCTGTTGGGCGAGCTGACCGGTGTGGAAGCTCAACCACCAGCACTGATGGTGGACAACTAGCCCGCCATCGCCCTCACGAAGAATTTGGTTCTCCACGACCGGAGCAAACACATCGACGTGAAGTTCCACTTCCTCCGGAACTGTGTCGATGGAGGGCAGATCGTCATCGAGTTCATCGAAACTGGTTGGTAACTCACGGATGTCCTCCCCAAGCCGCTCGGCCGTCTTCGACTCACGGAGCTGAAGAAGATGATCGGCATGGAGGGGGTTCAAGGGTAGCAGAAGGATTAGGGAAAGAATTGTTAGATAATCTTTTGCGTCTCTTGTTAATGCGCAGCAGGTGAAGGCGTCGCCGAAAAGGGCTCCCTGTTGTTGCACTGTAGCAGCTGCAGGGGCAGGCGCCGAATGGATCACCTGCCGCACTGTAGCCACAGTAGGGGCAGGCACCAAAGTCAGCCCTGCTGTCACATCTAGTAACTGTAGCAGCATGATAGCTGTACTAGGACTAGATGAATAGAGTTGTATATATAGTTTGCCACTGCAACTCAGAAAAGAGAGTTCAGATTTACCAACTCCTATACAGAGCTCCAGCCAACGCTGGTGTCTCAGCTGTGTGTGTATGCTCTGTTCTCCCTCCCTTCTTCCACCTCTAGCCATAGTGTGTGGTCGGACAACGTCTGCCGTGCTCGGCCGTGGTCGGTAAGAGCGGTGAGTGGTCGACTCACCTAAGCCAGTGATCTTGTGGGCTAACAGGGCTATGCCAAGTCCATGGCCCTAAGGACGCCCTAGACCTCAGCATCCCCGACGCCGTCCACCAGCACGGCGGCTCAGCCACCCTCCCACAGATAGTCACCAAGGTCACGCTCTACCCGTCAAAGATATCATGCCTGCGACGCCTCATGCGTGTGCTCACTCTCACCGGCGTCTTCAGCGTCCACGCCGGCGGCGACGATGAGCTTGTTTATGGACTCACGCCGGCGTCTCGCCTTCTGGTCGGCTCGGGGATGTACGTGACTCCATTCCTGACCTTGATGCTTGGTACTGTCTTTGTGTCTTCCTTCTTTGACCTCGGCGAGTGGTTCCGGCACGAGTTGCTAGACCCGTCCCCCTTCAAGTTTGCGCATGGACGGCATATATGGGATCTGGCCGACCACGACGCCAGCTTTGGCAAGCTCTTCGACGACGGGATGGTCGCGGACAGCAGTTTCATCATGGACGTGGTGGTCAAGGAGTGCAGCGACGTCTTCCAAGGGATTAGCTCCCTCGTCGACGTCGCCGGCACTACCCAGACCATCGCAAAGGCTTTCCCGCATGTGGAGTCCAGCGTGCTGGATCTCCCACATGTTGTCGCCAATGCTCCCACTGATACCGATGTGAAGTACATCGCCGGTGACATGTTTGAGAGCATTCCATCGGCAAACTCTGTCTTCCTGAAGGTTTACGCCCATATAATTGTCAAATCGTGCTCTTGTTGACTATCGTGATGATAGTCACTTCTATTATTATTTTTGGTTCTAGTGGATTCTGCATGACTGGAGTGATGCCCAATGTGTCAAGATATTGAAGAACTGAAAGAAGGCCATAGCATCTCAAGGAGGAGGGAAGGTGATAATATTGGATATGGTGGTTGGAGCAGGGTCATCCGACGAGAAGCATGTGGAGACACAAATCTTGTTTGATCTCTTTATGATGTTTATCAATGGTGCCAAGCGAGATGAGCTAGAGTGGAAGAAGATTATTTTTGAAGCTGGATTTAGCTCTTACAAGATCATACCTGTTCTAGGTGTTCGATCCATTATTGAGGTCTACCCATAGATATATCTATGTAACTCAAGTACACTGCATGCGTGAATAATCTGCGTGTGGAAACTAGGTGTGAAGAAGTGTTTTGCCATTGCCTGTTTCGTTGTTAAATGTATCACATGTACTCTTCGTGTTCCACATTATAAGATATTTTGACTTTTTTAATATATTGTTTTTATTATATATGTAGGTATATATATAGGTGCATAACAAAAGTTATATGTCTAAAAAACTAAAGCGTCTTATAATTTAGAACGGAGGGAATACTATAATAAAAGAACGGGAGTTGCGGGTCCCCGTTTCTCAACGACGAGTAATAAAACGATTTTATCAGCGCCAGAAGGAAGGCGTGAGATGGCATATTTGTCTCAACATACCGGTCTACAGTTTTATATGGCCGCAGTTTTTACTCTTCACGTTTCATATACAGCAGTCAAAGCAAATAGATGCAACGGCACACTAAGCTGACATGCATTCTATACAGGAGTATCAATCTTTGTTGAACCAGCAACATGGCTTAACCAGTCATTCAGAGTGGGAAACACTTAAGGGACTGATTGAATGGTCGGAATCAGGTCGAATTGGAAACCATTTCATGGGCTGGCCTGTTTGTCTGTCACGTGAATTGGAAAGCAAAGATTCTAGGGCATTCCATAAACGGAAGCTTGCAGCAAATTCACGGGCTGAACACCAGAAAGCTAGCTATTCCGTCCCCCGACTCGCCCAGACGCACTGCCTTGTCAGACATGCTCTACTCTCTCGCCTCTCCTCTACACCATGGTGACTTGGGTTCCAAGTGTCCGCTCCTCCATTGCCCCAATCCTCCACTTCGTGCCAGTTCCAGACAAGACATCGATATTGTTCTCATTCATCTGCTATGCAGTATGCACTTACTCAGGCGAGCAGTATGCACTTACTCAGGCGAGCGAGTGAAGATCCCGTGTCATCCTCGACGCCGGTGCATAGTCACGTAAAACGGGTTCACCACCTTCGACCCTCGACCTGGGTTTGTCGACCCCGACCCAGGTTCACGGGTTTGTTTTCGACCCGAAGTGTAAAAATCTCTCACGAGTAGCGTACCACGTATCGCGACCCCGTACCTCGACCCCATCGACCCAGAAACTTGACTATGCACCGGTGACCTCTGCTCACCGATCTTGGTTCCTCAGCTTGGTAACCGCTGCCCCGGCAGCATTCATCCTCAACGCCACAGACACCAATCACCTATCTGCCTGAGGCTAGCTACCTCTACCCCAGCATCTCGTCATCCTCAACGTTTCAACCTTCACCATATGTTGATCCGTCTTAAGAAAAAAAATTCCACGTCCACCAACAAGAAAATTGGATTATTTAATCAAATAGTAGGTAATCATTTCTTCTAGAATTAATACTACAGATATGGGGGTTTTTTCAACGGCATCCTCGCTGGTTTTATTAGAACATTTGGTGACAACATATCACTGCCAGTTCTTGTCTTGAACCGACAATGAAAATTATTTTCACCACCGGTTCAAAAAAAGACCCGATGGTGAAAAACTGGAGCAGCCCGCACATTCGATTCCCTCTCTGATCGCATTCTTTCTCGACAGGCTGACGTGGAACCATTTGCCCATCCTCCCAGGGCTTTCAGCCTACCTCACCCTTCTTCGCTTCCTCTCTTTCTCCCTTCCCGCGAGAGAACCATGCTGTCCCTCCCTCCGGGCATCGACAACCATTTGGCGCGGGCGGCACCCCAGTGTGGGCGCATCCATTCGTGGTGCCTTGGCACGGGGGCCAGGGGTGGACGGAGCGCAGGATGGCCGTTGCAGGCAGGCGGGCGCAGCGGCACCCTGCTGCACGAGCACCCCACGGCCTCTGGATCTCGATTGTGGCAGTGGCAGCCCCCGGTGCACCTGCACTAGATCTCGGTGCAGCTGTGTTAGCCGCTCCCGACTTCGCCGCGGTGGCATCTCAGTGCGGAGGCGGCCCTCACGTAGTAGTGGGCCCACGACACTAGTCTGGCATCTCCGGCGTTGACGTTTTTTTTCTTAAATTGATTTTCACAAGCGGGCGGATACTGCGGCCAATGGTGATGTCAATTTGTCACACCGTCCCGTCGATTATAGCCTCTATTGCTGATTATCACCAATAAGATGATGATAGGGTCTGCCGACCCAACGGTGATGAAGAATCTATATATACTAGTGAATCTAATTGCTAGCGTCAGTCGCCAATCATATTGCTTTGTAATCAACGTCATACGACGCTACTAAGAGGTTGCGACTTTTTTTAGCTCGTCCTTTCTAGAACTTTCTTGGAAAAAATCTAATTGCTAGAATGTGATTATTGGAATGAGATTCAATTCCATGAATCCATACAGCTCCTATCATAAGAAAAAATAATTATATGATATGGTAAAATATTCCTTACCCTTGATTTATTTCACCATGCACCTAAAGACATATGGTAAAATATTCTTTACCCTTTGACCCTTTGGCGCCAAGTACCATGTTCAGAAAGGGAGTACATATATCAGCCAAAGTCCAGTGCAAATACGGCAGAACCGCAGCCAAACATTCAATACGTGTTTCCTTGCTCTGTGCTCATTCGTGCAGGTGTCGCTTTCACTCTACTGGACGTGTCCCTAATGCATTTTCCATCTTATATGGTGCGCCCACATGTTCAACGTGTGTCCCTAATATAATGCGCAAAGGTCTCTGTTTCACGATTATAAGTTCTCCATTAACATGACATGTCACGGCGAGATGATAAGATAAGATTCGGCCACCTTGTGAGTTGTGATGGCAATCGTTCGAACAAAGGAGCGTACTTTCGCTGATCTCGAATTGAGTGCTCATCGTCCCTTCTCACGTGAAATTCGTGCACGCCGGAGCATTTCCATTTGACGTCTGGAGTAGAAACCAACAAGTGGGCAAATCACAGTGTCAACATCCGAAAGATCATCTGGAATACTATAATACTATATATATATATAGGTGCATAACAAAAGTTATATGTCTAAAAAACTAAAGCGTCTTATAATTTAGAACGGAGGGAATACTATAATACAAGAACGGGAGTTGCGGGTCCTCGTTCCTCAACGACGAGTAATAAAACGATTTTATCAGCGCCAGAAGGAAGGCGTGAGATGGCATATTTGTCTCAACATACCGGTCTACAGTTTTATATGGCCGCAGTTTTTACTCTTCACGTTTCATATACAACAGTCAAAGCAAATAGATGCAAGGGCACATTAAGCTGACATGCATTCTATACAAAGAGTATCAATCTTTGTTGAACCAGGAACATGGCTTAACCAGTCATTCAGAGTGGGAAACACTTAAGGGCCTGATTGAATGGTCGGAATCAGGTCGAATTGGAAACCATTCCATGGGCTGGCCTGTTTGTCTGTCACGTGAATTGGAAAGCAAAGATTCTTGGCCATTCCATAAACGGAAGCTTGCAGCAAATTCACGGGCTGAACACCAGAAAGCTAGCTATTCCGTCCCCCGACTCGTCCTGACGCACTACCTTGTTAGACATGCTCTACTCTCTCGCCTCTCCTCTACACCATGGTGACTAGGGTTCCAAGTGTCCGCTCCTCCATTGCCCCAATCCTTCACTTCCTGCCAATTCCGGACAAGACATCGATATTGTTCTCATTCCTCTGCTATGCAGTATGCACTTACTCAGGCGAGCAGTATGCACTAACTCTGGCGAGCGAGTCAAGATCCCGTGTCATCCTCGACGCCGGTGCATAGTCACGTAAAACGGGTTCACCACCTTCGACCCTCGACCTGGGTTTGTCGACCCTGACCCAGGTTCACGGGTTTATTTTTGACCCGAAGTGTAAAAATCTCTCGCGAGTAGCGTATCACGTATCGCGACCCCGTACCTCGACCCCATCGACCCAGACACTTGACTATGCCCCAGTGACCTCTGCTCACCGATCTTGGTTCCTCAGCTTGGTAACCTCTGCCCCGGCAGCATTCATCCTCAACGCCACAAGACACCAATCATCTATCTGCCTCAGGCTAGCTACCTCTACCCCAGCAGCTCGTCATCCTCAACGTTTCAACGTTCACCATATGTTAATCCATCTTAAGAAAAAAAATTCCACGTCCACCAACAAGAAAATTGCATTATTTAATCAAATAGTAGGTAATCATTTCTTCTAAAATTAATACTACAGATATGGGGTTTTTTTCAACGGCATCCTCGCTGGTTTTATTAGAATATTTGGCGACAACATATCACTGCCAGTTCATGTCTTGAACCGACAGTGAAAATTATTTTCACGACCGGTTCAAGAAAAGACCAGATGGTGAAAAACTGGAGCAGCCCGCACATTCGATTCCCTCTCTGATCGCATTCTTTCATTGATAGGCTGACGTGGAACCATTCGCCCATCCTCCCAGGGCTTTCAGCCTACCTCTCCCTTCTTCGCTTCCTCTCTTTCTCCCTTCCCGCGAGAGAACCTTGCTGTCCCTCCCTCCGGGCGTCGACAACCATTTGGCACGGGCGGCGCCCCAGTGTGGGCGCATCCATTCGTGGTGCCTTGGCACGGGGGCCGGGGGTGGACGAAGCGCAGGATGCCCGTCGCAGGCAGGCGCGCGCAGCGGCACCCTGCTGCACGAGCACCCCACGGCCTCTGGATCTTGATTGTGGCAGTGGCAGCCCCCGGTGCACCTGCACCAGATCTCGGTGCAGCTGTGTTAGCCGCTCCTGACTTCGCCGCGGTGGCATCTCAGTGCGGAGGCGGCCCTCACGTAGTAGTGGGCCCACGACACTAGTCTGGCATCTCCGGCGTTGACGTTTTTTTTCTTAAATTGATTTTCACAAGCGGGCGGATACTGCGGCCAATGGTGATGTCAATTTGTCACACCGTCCCGTCGATTATAGCCTCTATTGCTGATTATCACCAATAAGATGATGATTGGGTCTGCCGACCCAACGGTGATGAAGAATCTATATATACTAGTGAATCTAATTGCAAGCGTCGGGCGCCAATGATATTGCTTTGTAATCAACGT